TTCAGTATTATCTACAGAAAAGAATGCACTGTATTAGGTTACGGAAGCCAGGGTTCGCACAAGACAATGCAAAGAGTGTCACAAAGACAATTTGCATTATTAACACAATACACTATCATGTTGGGAGTGTACTTTCCTCGAAATGGACAGAAGAGTGAGTGTTGAGATATAAATAAGATATATATTTTTTCATTTTTACTAACAGTTTATTAGTAGTCTTGTTTGGAATATTTGTTTAACGGAATATCTTCCTGCTTTTCTCTATTCTGGCCTCCTTCCTTTACAGTTCCCTGTTGTAGTTGTTGTTAGCTGCTGTTAAGCCAGTCCCCAATTCACAGGGACCCCATGCACAACAGAACAAAGGCTATTTGGTTCCTCGCCATCCCCATGATCAGTTGCAGATCAGACAGCTGTGATCTACAGGGTTTTCATTGGCTGATTTTGGGGAGTAGATTGCCAGGCCTTTCTTCCTAGTCCATCTTAGTCTGGAAGCTCCACTGAAACATGTTCAGCATCATAGCAACACACAAGCCTCCACTGACAGATGAGTGGTAGCTGTGCATGAGGTGTACTGACTGGGAATCGAACCCAGGTCTCCCGCATGAACGGGGAGAATTCTACCACTGAATCACCAATGCCTCTACAGTTTATTAGCCATTGTAAAACATTCACTACACTGAGTATTTCTCATTACAGAAATGGTATGATTTATCAGACATACATACTAGCAAAAATGAGGCACTCATTCAGATAAACTAACCTCTAACTGACCCACTACTTTTTTGCCTGAACATTGTTGTCTACCTTGGGTGAAAATATGTGTTCTTTGGAAGGGTAAAAGTGTGTGAGAGGATGGTTTAATGATAAATATCTCTATTCTCCATCTTTTTCTCAGAGGAGATTATATTTTAATGAAATATAATGAAAAGGACAATGTTTAGTTTAGCATCTTAAGTGGTTATTTGTAAGTAAGTACTAAAATTTAAAATAAAGCTTAAACATTCATCATTGGGTACTTAAATGGCAGTTGTACAGTTACTATATTCATAATACAATAACCAAGATACAGTGATCATATTATAACAGGTAATTACACTGCTCTTTCAGGCTTGCAGGCAAAAGGACAAAGCAAAATGATCTCTAGCACTGCACACGGGGACACAGGCTGACTCTGAGAAGACAGCCCCGAAGAGGACCAGGACAAGCACCAGCTGTAAGAGCCTCCTAGAGTCCACAGCTGCACCAAAGTCCCTGACACTGGAACTGGGTACAGCAAGAAACAGCACGGAAAAGTGGAAAGGCCTTGACCTGAATTCCAGCTCAGTGGCCGTTACTAGCCTGGGCAGATTACTTGGCCTCTGACGCTTACTGTGAGGCTCTGTCTTTTAGGGTCCCTCATGAAGGTTAAGTGAGCTAATGGAGGTGAAGACCCTGGGGCTGGAACATAATAGGAACTCAATAAAGGATAGCTATCATTAGCATTACTAAGGGAGTGGTGTTGACCCTGAGGGATCAACAACTGTGGTCATGATATAAACATGCTGTTTATTGTCCGAAGTGCAGGCGAAGCATGAAACCAAGCCTGCCACATCAGTGTTCAATAATTATGACCTATTATTATTATTACCATTGTGATATTCATGGTCAAGCAATGGCAAAGACCGAGAGAGGTTAAAAAAGGAGCCTCAGGCTACCAAATTCAGTGTCACAGGATGCCTTTCTCCAGTAGGTTATGAGACAGTTCAGCCATATTTGTATTTTTGTGAAAGAAACATAGTATAGAAGTTGAGTAGGCCTCCTCTCAGTAAAGCTGGAAACTATGCTTTTTCTTAGGAACAGTACTATCAGGGATGGTGTGAACCTAACCTTTGAGAGAGGACTCAGCAGCATCACCAAAGAAAGTGATCCTGGATGCTACACTTAACACTTCCTTTTCCTTACTTAGGTACCTGATGTAGCACGTAGCATTTCCTTAAGCCTTTTCACAAGTTCATTCTCTACTAATGCTTGAAGCAGAAACTTATAAAAGTACTGAATGATCACCCAAATTTCTAGAAAGCAGGATTCCCTGAGAAGCCCAGAAAATTCCAGCAGTGTCAGAAAACCCCAGCTATAGACACAACTCGGAAAGTGCTGTTAGGAGGGCTGAGCAGCATGTCATCATCTGTTGATAACTTTCAGGCAATGTCAAAGTTCTCAAACAGCACTCTCTCATCTTAACCCCATCTTGCCTCAATCACAAACAAGGAGGGGTTGAATTCATCACAAAAGCTGGCTATTTTGAACACTGCCACTTTCAAAATCTCACCGTAGCATCAACGTTTAGAGCAGGCATAGCTGGGAGAGACTAGAAGGTACCTAGTTTGAGGACATACCTACAGGCTTCCAGATTTTCCCTTTCAAAGAAAAAAAAATTAGTTGCCATTGAGATAATTCTGATTCATGGCAACCCCATGCGTTTCAGAGTAGAACTGTGCTCCATAGGGTTTTCAATGGCTGATGTTTCAGAAATAGATTGCCAGGCCTTTCTTCCAAGGTACCTCTGGATGGACTCTAACCACCAATCTTTTGGTTAGTAGCCTAGTGCTTAACCATTTGCGCCACCCAGAGGAACACGAAATTGGGAAAAGAGTAAGAAAGGGAAAGATTAAATGCTCTTTCAATAACTGTATCTACTCATATGAGCCAGGCTTCAGTGCAAAACAAGGTGAATTACCACACAATATATATGTGTTAAGCCAAACAAATGTTGGAGGCCCAGCACACTTCTGTTTCAGACCCTCAGTTTTGTTTCCTAGGCTGTATATTGGGACAATTAAGAGCACGTACTCAGGGGTTGGAGTCCCTGGGTGGCATAAACGGTTTAGTGCTCAGCTACTAACCCAAAGGTTAGCTGTTCAAACTCACCTAGAAGCTTCTCAGAAGAAAAGCCTGGTTATCTACTTCCAACAGATCACAGCCATTGAAAACCCTATGGAGCACAGCTCTATTCTGAAACACTTAGGGTCGCCATGAGTCAGAACTGACTCCAGGGCACCTGGTTTGGTTTTTTGGTTTCTACTCAGGGGTTAGGCAAATTGCTACTACCTTTATAGCCTTGTCGAGTCACTTTACGACTCAACTTCAATTTTCTCATCTGTAACAGAGGGATAATAACACCTGCTTAACAGGGTGGATGTAAGGATTTAATGAGTCCATAGGGTCGCTATGAGTCAGAATCAATCAACTTGATGGCAATGTTTTTTTTTTTTTGTATACATATACAGCCCTTAGTTGTTTACTGCTAGCCTCCAGGTAAAATAAAAATCTCTCAGCACCTGAGTCTTAGGAAGGAAGAGATTGTAAGAATGAGTCTACTCAAATTCCAGGATGATCATATTCATTTGCTTCCCAGAATAATCATACTCATTTGCTTCCCAGTAAATTCACTAGAAAGTGAATTTACATGACTGGTTTTGTTCCACCTTTCTTTTGGTGTACTGGTAGTGCCAAACAGGTAGACAACACACGTCTTCAACAAAAGTCCCTTTGGCAGTGGGTAAATGTCCTCCAGGATCAGCTGTGCCCTAAACAACACTATAGCGTGCACAAACTCAGAAGACACACAAATATTACTGAGCCTCAGTGCCCACCAGCTACCATCGCTGCTCCTCCTAGGGGAGTGCTCACCCTGCTAGTCCATCAGTGACACAGCCTCACAGAAGCAGCATGTGTAGCCAGTTTAATTAGTAATTGAAGGTAAAGAATTTGGTTTCTCTCTACATTCCATACGATAACACATGTAAAAGTGCTCAATAAATCTTAGATGCTATCATTATTACTATTCTTACTTACTAGTCCAGGGATGCAACACCATGCTGTGCAGAAAGGAGAAAGTGGAGAAGCAAGTTTGCTTTCCTTTTTTTATCGTGGCCTATTGAAGTCACCGTTCCTAAACACTTCGAATAGTTCTTTATACTGTCTTCATTCCTCCCTTGACCTCTGAAGCCACAGCTTCTCTAAAGGCTCCTGGTTTGTTTTTCCACATTTATCTCTCTTCCAGACCCTCCTAAGCATCCCAAACCACATGGATATTAGAGTTTTCCAGGATGCTTCATCTCCTCTGATTGGGCACCAGTGTGCACAGGTATCTCTGAAAGGCCTTGCAGACTCCCAACCCACAATGATTGCCTGGGGTGGGGTGACAGGTAGAAGTGGCTGTTAAGAAGCAATGTGTGGAAATTATGATATTAGAATGTGTAAATGGCCCCTACCGCAGAGACACCAGTTGCTGGAATTGGACTGCAATGTCAGATCAGAAACTTGATTTCTCCAGGCCCATTTCCAGACTCCAGCCTGTGTTTGGCTTCAATAACAAAGAATAACACTGGCAACAGCTGCTGTTTCTTAGGTGGACATCAGCAACTAGAGTTTAAACAATCTCTTGTTTAAACAGTAGGAAACTACACAACTGATCTAGACTTCCCATAAGTCAAGGCCAAGTGCAGAGGAAATTATCAGTGTTCAAAGGAATGTGAAGTAAAAATGAGGAGAATGAATAACCTGTTCAAAGTCTAAAGAAGTGGGCTCAAATACTGTGTTCCTTGGGGCTTTATAGCTGCCTCCTAGGTGTCTCGGGTTGCCTGGGGCTGAAGGCCAGAGTGTGTGTGTGCACATGCAGGTATCTGCGTGTACTAGTGTGCATGTATACTCCCATTATGAGGAAGAGGAGGGAAGGCAGCTGAGAGCCTCCCATCCCTACTCCAGTTGGGACTTGGGGTGGGGGGTGTGTGTGCAGACTGTGAGGGTGGGTGATGCAGAGGCAGGCCAAACTGAAACTCCCTGCAATGATTCTAGGAGTCCACAGGGATTTTTTTGAAAAACAAAAGAAAGAATACCCTTTAAAGCAAAGAGCCTATTTTATGATTGTCTTGAGAAAAAAACAAGAACTAAAAACCAAACTAAATGTTTTCTCAAACAAAATCCTCCCACTGGTTACTTGAGTAAAAAGTCAGGCTTACCTTGACATACTGAACAAAGCGTTCACTGACGTTCACTTTGTAGGTCTCCAAGCCCAGTTCCTTAGACAGCCGTAAGATCCTATTCTGGGTTGGTCCCACATAAGCTCCACCAACATCTACGTAATTAACATGCTCATTCTATCAAAAGAGAAGAAGTGGTCAGAAAACTTTAGTTAAAACTTGAAAAACAAAGTCTCTGTGTCTTTAAAAAAAACATTTTTTTTAAAAAACTTAAATGTGCCTGATAAAGTACAACTGAAATAGCAACCCTTTCTCTCCCACTCAAGAAAGAACTGGGGCACGACACTGTATGACACTCATCTCTAAGCAGTCCCATTTGTATGGTTATTGATGAGGCAGAATTAGCAATAAAATGAATAAAGAGGAAAGAAAACCGAAGTACATCCAGCGGTCTAGATCCTTTCCAAAGCATTTAAGTTATTATAATGTTTTTCTTTTGAGTTATTGCTAGAGGAGACAGAGATAATTAAGCCTAATTTCCTCATGTCCAACAGCTGAAATCTTAAATCAACCCACTGTGATGGAATCCTGGTGGTTCAGTGGTTAAGAGCTCAGGGGCTAACCAAAAGGTCGGCACTTCAAATCTACCAGCTGCTCCTTGGAAACCCTATGGGGCAGTTCTATTCTGTCCTACAGGGTCTCTATGAGTCTGAATGGACTCAATGGCAACAGGTTTGTTTTTTTTTTAATGATGGGCTCTTTGTCCTATTTTAAAACACTTCCAGGGAAAATGCATTATAGGAAAAGAGTACAGAAAGGAATAAAAAGATTCATGTACCAAATTATTTACAAATATGCAAACCATCTTTCATAAACTAAAACTGCTTACTTTCCCCTTCTTAAATGTAGTTCTACACCCTTTTTCAGCTCTTTTATTAACACATTTCCCAATGATTAAATCAATAAATCGAATATTGGTGAGCTACAACTCCTCCACGTTTTCATAATAATGTCTATGGCTCTGTCTCTATTTTGTTGTTTATATTCTCATTCATGTTGCATTTTCTCCTAGTTTGTCTGGGTATTTTTTATTGAATGCCACTCACTGCATTAAAAAAAAAAAGTAGAAATAGTTTAAATCCTCAGAGGATGACATTATCTTTCTCAGAGAGGATTTATGCTTGCTCCTGCCCAGCACCTGGCCACACTAACATGGCCACACAAACAATGCTACATAACCTTATTCCATTTTTTTAGACGTTAGATGATTTGAAGCTGGGCTGAGATACATATGTAGTGTAGTCCTCTTCCAGTTCACCCTTACTCCTATGAGACAGCCTGACTCAAGCCATAAGGAGTTTACCACACTTAGGGGGATTCTGGACTTGACCTTCTGTCACCTAGCTTTGTAAAACTATCAAAAGCACTGTTCAGCCTCTCCGCAGCTTCTTCAGTGGTCTTCTTCAGTGGTTCCAACTTCCCCACCCCCAGGAGAAAAGGAGGTTTCACATTCTCTGGATTCCAATCTTTTCTGGATATTGGCCCAGTGATTCTTCAATACCTCATTAGCTCTCTGATATTTTGAAGATTTATATGTGGGTGTATGTGTAAGTGTATATAGTGCAATCTCTCTACTCTTTGTAGTTAGTAGCAGGGTTGGTACAACTTACCTAATGAGTTATTTCCAGAAAATCGAGTGTCTAGTATTACTGAAAGAGCCCTGGTGGCACAGTGGTTAAAGCACTCAGCTGCCAACCAAAAAGTCGGCGGTTCGAACCCATCAGCTGCTCCGCAGGAGAAAAATGTGGCAGTCTGCTTCCATAAAGATTACAGCCTTGGAAACCCTATAGGGTAGTTCTATTCTGTCCTATAGGGTTGCTATGAGTTGGAATCAACTCGATGGCAGTGGGTTTGGTTTGTAGTATTACTGAATCTTACCTTCCTGGAATAACCCAGCCTGATATTATCTTTCTATTGCAGGATATTCTTTGTTAACATTTAGTTTAGGATGTTTGTATCCGTGTTCATAAGTGAAACCCAGACTGGCTTGTGATTTTCCTCTCTTCTACTTCCCCTGTCTGCTTTTTGCATTAGAGTATTGCTAATCTCATTAGTTAGTGATCATACTCTCTTCTATTCTCTGGGAGAGTTTGTATATAAATAGAAGTATCTATTCTTTGAACATTAGGTAGAACACACTGTACAGTATCGAGGCTTAATGTATTCTTTGCGGGGAAAATCTTATACTACAGATTCAATTTACTTTGGGGTTAAAGCACTACTCATGTTTTCTATTCTTAAATCAGTGTTAGTTTTGATAACCTATATTTTTCTTGTAATATATACATTTCACATATATTTGTTTTCAAAATTATTGGATTAAAATTATTCATAACATCCTTTTTGTTTATTATTTATTGCATCAGTAGTTATATCTTCATTTTCATTCCTTTTATTGTTTATTTGGCTCCATGATTTTGCTTTGGGTATTCATTTGTTCATTCAACAAATGTATCTTCAGGTCCTACTAGGTGTCACGTACCATTCAAGGCATTTTTGTTGTATCATTGAACAAAACAAAGATCCCTGCCCTTGAGGAACCTTTTCTCCTTTCCTTGAGGAGAAACATCTCCACATTCAGTGGGGAGTGACAGAAAGTGAACACTAGATATAATAAATATCACTGAAGTTGATAATTACTATGAAAAAAAAAAACTAGAACAGGATAAGGGGGACCAGAATTGCTGGGAAGAGAGGAGAAGGTTGTAATTTTTAACACAGTGAACATGCAGGAATTCTTGGAAAGGTGATATATTTGCATAAGGACCTGAGGAAGGTGAGGGAATTATCCACGTGCATATTTGCGAGAAGAGCATTCTTGGCAGAAGGGAGACCTAGTACAGAAGTGTGCCTAGTGTTTTCAAGAAACAGCAAGGTCAATGTGGCTAGAATAGATTGAGCAAGGAAAAGAGAACTGGCAATGAGGTTAGAGAGGTAATGGGGTGGGGGACAGCTCATGTAAAGCCTCACAGGACATTGTTTAAGAACATTGGCTTTTACTCTGGGTGAGGAAGGGTGCCTCTGAATGTTTTCAGCAGAGGAATGTCAAGATTGGACTTAGGTTTGAAAGGTTCACTTTGGCTGCCACAATGAGAATGGATTATAGGGAGCAAGTGTGAAAGCAGGGGAGTCAGTTAGGAAGCTAATGCAGTAATCTGGCTTAGAGAGGATAGTGGTTCCCACGAGGGTGGTAGCAGAAGTGGTGAGATTTGTTGAGTTCTGGATATATTATGAAGGCAGAGCCAACATAATTTCCTGACAGAGTAAATGTGGGGTCTGAGAATGCTGAAGATGACTCTGAGCTTTTTTGGAGTCACCATCCCTGATAAGGGGAAGGCTGCTGGAGTAGCAGTCTTGATGGGGAAGATCAGTTGCTCAGTTTTGGATGTGTTAAGTTCCACATGTGTGTTAAACATCCAGGAGATCTTCAAATTTCTAACTTTCAGGTCAGCACAATATATTCTATTCAGCATTTTACTTATTTCATTTGGGAGTTACTCAGGGTTTCTATTCTGTCGCAATAACAGAAATGCAGTGCTCCTTTGACTTCAATCTTTCCCTCATATAATCCTTACTTTCTCTGTTACTAACCATTGGTGCTGTCCTCCAAACCTTATGTAGTGTCCAACATCGTTTTTGAGTTATAAAGAACAAAACTGGAGTCAGTACGTCAATAAATGCCTAGGCTTTAACCAAGGCAGCAAGAGGGCTCTTGGTAGTTTGTAAACACAATGTCTTTAGAACACTGATACTGTCTTTACAGTGAATAACCCTAAGTGAAACAGTAAAAAGTATAAGGGCTTTTATGGGATGTTTATTTACAAAGTAGAAACATCCTAAAGGAGGCGCCTTGATTCAGTATGAAGATACTAGAACTGTAATACCATATCTTCCTATGTTACACCTTAGTCTTTCGGCTCTTAATTTAGATCTCATGACTCAGCACTTGAAGAGGCATGAACACGTTAACTATATTAGGAAACAAATACAGCATCCCTGGGGTGGCCATGCAGGCATTTCAACTTTATTAATTTGACCCTGAAGAGTTATGGAGAAATCACATTAGGAAAAATACGGAAGCTATGAACTAATAGAAGCTCGATCTGAACAGCTGCCAGGTGACAGTACCAAATTTGACATTTTAGTACTTCAAGATCTAGTGCAGCTTTTATAGCAGCTCCTCTCAAAATCATCCTAATTTATTATGCTATTGGAAACAATTATAACAATATTCAATTCAGTTTCTTATTAAATACCATTTTTGTCCCTCCTTAAAGCCTTTTCCCCCCCTTCTATTCATCTGAAATCTGATGTTAAGTCCTAATCTCTAATATTTCAGAGATTCCTGTCTCACATACCTCAGGAAGAGTATAATATCATGCTCAATACACAACAATAGTTCCTGACATATATAAATTATACAGCCTGGAAAAGCAGCCTGAGGCAATAACATAGATGGGGACAAACATGTTGGAATTCTCATTTCCCTTTACCAAGAAACTTGTTCTTAATTGAAAATATGCAACATGACAGTGCTACTATTTAATAACCAGAAGCTTTTGGAGATAAGAAAAGTAGGGCTAAGGGAGAACTTAATAACTATCTCCAAAATGAAGGAATATTTTTCAGAAAGTGACAGAAGAATCATATCTAATAAGGTCATACAGGCAGAATATGCAACCCTTCTTTTGTACTACAACACATTGCCTTAAATCACAATTCGAAGTTGGAAGGGAGCTTCGAGTACATTTAGATTGTATCTCATTGCCCAGATCAGGAAATGGAGATGTAAAGTGCTAACAGCACTTACCAAAGGTAAGACAGGCCAGTACAGGGGCTAGAACCCCAGTAGAATCCCAGTAGAATCGCTGAACTAACAGACTCCCAGTGGACCACATTTAAGGAAGTAACCAGAAATTCTCCAAATAAAATGAATTTGGATTTACATTAATTCGAAACAAAGAAGCAAGTATATACAATAGAGCAGCACTTCTCAAACTTTTATGTGCACATGAATCCCCTGAGGATCTTGTTAAAATGCAGATTTGGATTTAGCAGGTCTGGGGTGGGACCTGAGAATCTTCATTTCTAACAAGCTCACAGGTGATTCTGAGGTAGTCAGAATCAGCAGACCACATTTTGAGTAGCAAGGCTGTAGAGTACTCTTAGAGCTGATCAACATGAAAATAGGCCTATATATCTAAAAAGGTAGGAAGCAAATGACAGAAGGGTAGCATGACACAGTGTGACTGAAAGAACTGGTACAATATCCTAGTTCAGATGTCTTTGGTTAGCTTTTCTAATATCTATTTATATTCCTTTTCCTATCACCATGAGTTGGAATTGATTCTGCAGCAACTAACAACAACATGCCTGCTTCTATTATGCAGCTGGAAATGTTAAATACTTGCTTTCCCAAGCTCCCAAGCAGCTAAGGGATCCAATTCTGGCCCATGACACTAAAGCAAATGTCTGCTGGGGTCTCCTGGCAAAAGAAGCTTTATTGCAGATAAGACTGGTGTTGCCCCTTCACTCTTTCCTGCCTTGAATAAGGATTTGATGCTTAGAGTTGCAGCATCCATCTTGTTTACCACAGGCAATGAGCCAACACGCAAAGAATGGCAGAACAGAAGACAGAGCCAGAAACCTTGATGACAAAGCTAACACCTGAATCAGCCTGGACTACCTACCACCAGCCTCTTCTAATGTGAAAGAATCAAATGTTTATATTGCTTAAGCCATTGTTATTATTGGTGCTCAAACCATTGTTATTAGTCTGATACATCTTCTAATTAGACAAATGCTTCCTCACCTTCCAGTCACTTCAACAGTCTAGTATTGTCCTTACTGCCAATTCCCCAGCCTTCAATGCTCTATTTGAGTGCTTTAGCAAAGGCCTCATTAATCTTCTAATCACCAAACACAAGGGCTTCTTTTCTGCCTTTATCCTGTGTCAAATGCCTGTCATTTAACTTGCTGATCATCCCTTCCTCTTTCCTCCACTGACTGGCATAGCACTGTTCTAGTCTCACCCACCTCCTCTGCCTCTACTGCTTCTCTGGCCCCTCTGCCTATGTCCAACCTTAAATCAGCATGCTCCCCCAACTTCCACCTTTGGCCCTATCTCCTCATCTTGCATCCTCTTCCTGTGTACTTTCATCAGCTCCCATAGATTCAACAACCTGCAACCATTCCCTTGAAGAATAGTAAACAAGCATTAGCGTGCATTTTTCCAGAATGGTAATATAAGCCCAGGTATAAAAAGGCAATGATGTAGCAAGAACTAGGCTTCCTTGTCATATGTAGCTAGACTCTACCTGAGCAAAGCATGTCTCAGGCAGTAGGATACTTCTTAGGGATCAAGCGCTGAGGGAAAAGTTGCACAAAAATATGTTACATTTGCTCCTGCTTACTGTAGCCAACTCACTTCTGTTGCATGTCCTTGAATAAACAAGGAACCTACAGCAAGTATGTGTGTGCATGCACACACATATGTGTATATGCTTCCAGCCAAACAGTAACCCCACCTGAAACACTGCATATTTTATTTAGACCTCTAATATGGAATTTCTCACTACTGTATTGAAGTTGGAGCCCTGGTGGCGCAGTGGTTAAGAGCTCCACTGCTAAACAAAAGGTTAGCAGTTCAAATCCACCAGCTGCTCCTTGGAAACCCTATGGGGCAGTTCTACTCTGTCCTATAGGGTTGCTATGAGTCGGAATCGACTCGATGGAAGTGGGTTTGGTTTTTTGTTTTGGTTTGGTATTGAAGTTATTTGTTTACATGTTTATTTTCTTCCTTAGAATGTAAACTACAGAAGGTCAGAGACTGTCACACATCAATGAGTGCTTGTTTAAGAGAATGAACACTTATTTGATGGAGTGGTTTAGGGCTATGTTGCACCAATGGCTTAACTGTATGAACTCTTAAGATCTCCTCGAGCCCTGTGCCTTCCAATTGCACCACTTCTAGTTTGCGTGAGATATTATATGTAAAGTGTTAAAATCACTTACCCTCACAGTGTATGTTCTCCCTCCAACTCGGTCTCGAGCTTCTAAGACTAAAACATTAGCTTCATATTCAGCCAAGAGTTTGGCAGCGGACAATCCTAAAGGGAAAGCAAAATATAAGAACATATAAAGACATATAAATACTAAACATCCAAGATTTAAATATGCAAACAGGTGGCTGAATAACCACACAGAGAAGAACTATTCCATGTGATTTTAAAAACCCAGTAATTTGATAGCTCCGTTCTAATGTTATATATATACCTTAAAGACAAAAAGAACTGCAAACAAAAAATAATCATTTAGATGGTGATAATATTACTATTGTTATTCTGAGGCTGTTATACATGTAATATGGGATAAAGCAAAATCAGGCTGGTGTCCTTGAGAACCAGGATTTTTGACATAAGAGTAAGGGAACTCAGATATAAAAACAATGAAGTTAAGTAAAAACCCCATCGTTCTAAATATGAATTGAAATTACCAGTATGATCTCTGGATATATTCTATCTTTAAAAATACATATTTCTTAGTCCTGTCCAATGAAAAGGCCTAGAAAAAAATAACGTACTCAGTAACAATAAACATTCCCAGACTGTAGTTTCTAAAAAATCAATTCACATGAAATGAACCATGGCTCTTGACCTATTCCAGGATTGGAGCAGAAAATGTACAAGATGAGCCGGAATGTCAAGTCATACCAGAAAGCAAGATGGTTGTGAGAGACAACTAGGATTGGGTCAAAAAGACTCAGCAGCTAACCTGAATAAATTTTCACTGGTCAAGAAGGGAACAAATCTACTGTGCCAAAGAATTCCAAATAACTGACGTAGCTATTTGGCCCTCAAGGAGGTGGGGTTTAACTACAGAACAGTTTCACATGCCTCTCCTCACTGCCTCTCACAACCTGCTCTTACAGTAGATTTCATCGTCTCCATATTCCAAAAGAGCAAATCAAGTACCTCATATGAATTACCACAACAAAGTCTCCTCAAAAGCTAAGGATTTTACTTCTCGTGCCCTCAATTAGAGCCTTAATAAAATCAAATCTAATGAGTAACTCTAAACGAGTTTGGTAAGTGGGGTTCAGTGCCAATAATAAATCCAAACCAAAAAAAAAAAAAAAAAAAACACAAAACTAATCCATTGCCCATTGAGTCAATTCCGACTCATAGTGACCCTATAGGACAGAGTAGAACTGCCCCATAGAGTTTCCAAAGAGCACCTGGTGGATCCAAACTGCCAACCTTTTGGTTAGTAGCCGAACTCTTAACTGCTACGCCACCAGGGTTCCCCTAATATATTCTACTCAGGAGATAAAAGGGAAGGTCAGAGCAGGGCTACCTGAGCCAGTACTATGACCACACCAGTTACAAAGGTCATTTTGCAGGTTAGCATTTAAGGCTATAACCAAATAAAAAACTGACAAAAATCATTGTTTTTGCATTACAGGAAAATAGCTCTATCTGAGCAAGCCAAGTTTAAACTCTTAGTTGAAGAAATAAGGAAAGTGTTTAGACCTTTAAAAAGGATTTCACCGGCAAGATGGCGGTCTAAGCAGAAGCACCACGCCGTCCCTCCACAACAAAGATCCGAAAAACTAAGCCAAACAGAGAATCAACAATCCTGAAACCCTAGAA